GGCGCCCGCAGGGCGGCGGGGGCAGCGAGCCCCGGGCCCCGCCGCTGCAGCGGTGGCCAGGCGCCGGGCAGAGCTGTGGTGGTTTTCCTCGTCGGCAGCTCGCCCTCAGCAGTTCGCCCGTGAGTGCAATGAATGTAGAGAGGTTAAAGGAAGATCTGCCCGGGTTTGTCCAGAGATTTTACTCGGCTGAGCAGAAAGATGTAACTTGCAGGATAGCGACTGCGTTTGGCCGGTCTGAACACGGGCAGACCATCCTGAGAGCTTTGAACACCATACACCTTCCCCATCACGGAATTTTACATCCACAACGCTTACGAATTGCACCTGTGTCGCTCATGTATGTGCCTGCAGGCATGTATTTGAGCACCGTGTCATGGTTAAATAGTGCTTAAGATTGCCATTTATTTGGATGGATTTAATGTAAACACAGTGTTTTGCATCAGGTATGCGTGTTTGCTTTCATTAGAGCAAAGATAACAAAGCTGTACATCTACACAAAGTTTACTCGGCTTGATGTGCTCAAGCAGAAAATTTTAGAATAAAACATGCCGCTGTTAACATTCAGTGGTATTATCTATCTTAAGTAAAGAGGAGCGGGAATCATGTTAATTTTTTCTGAAGAGATACATTTCACTTGCACCCACTCATTGGAAAGCTGAACCACTGACAGCACACGTGAAACTGTACCTGAAGTTTGTTTTTCTCTGGCACAGGAGTGAAGGCCCTGCGCTCCACCCGGCATAGGGATTTTCTCTCTGTGAAGTTAGCAGTTTTTCTGCTTCCCAATACTTAGATTTTCCTGTGTTTTGCATGGGTCCATGCACATTAACAGCAATCCAACGGTAACAGGCTTGTGTGACAGTTAAGGTGACAGCACCATGTCGTCAACTACCTGAAAGGGGGTTGTAGTGAGGTGGGTGCTGGTCTCTTCTGTCAGGTGGCTGGAGATAGGATGAGAGGAAACGGCCTCAAGTTGCAGCAAGGAGGATTTAGGTTGGATATTAGGGAAAATTTCTTTACTGAGAGGGTTGTCAGACATTGGAACAGGCTGCCCAGGGAAATGGTTGAGTCACCGTCCCTGGAGGTATTCAAAAAGCATGTAGACGAGGTGCTCCAGAACATGGTTTAGTGGGCATGGATGATGGTTGGACTCGATGATCTTGAAGGTCTTTTCCAACCTAAATAATTCTATGATTCTATGATCTCAGCAGATTTCTTAGGGGAGCTGCAACCCTACACGTAGTGTTGTGCTTTTGCCAAGCTGAGACTGTATTAGGAAGGAGAATGGTTCTTGTCACCAGCATGATGTATAGTTATGTGGCTCCTAGGAGACTGCAAAGGTGGTCCTTCAGTATTTGTGGTCCTCCAGTATCTGTGGTCCTTCGT